GCCGCGCGGCACGGGGTTCGCACTAGCTGGCTTTTAAAAATGGCGGCGCCGGCTTTATGCTAATGAAGCCCGGGAAATTCAAATCCCGGGCTTCATTAGCAAGTTCGGTATGCATACATTACCCCCCCCTAGTTCGAACTAGCGGGGTAGTGTAGACATACCCAAAGATACTACAGGATCATTGTTGTGATTTTAAGAGTATTTAGTTTCAGACTAACATGGCTACCCCACTGAGACATATCTCTATCTCTATCTCTATCTCTTCCTAGATGCATAATAGATTGTAAATATATGTGACCTTTTTAGAAAATTGTAAACATTATTTGAATGCATGCCACTGCAGAAGAATGTGTTAGTTTAATAATTATTCTGACATACTATTTGGTTCCCCTTATTTGCAAAAGTTGTGTGTAGTCTTTGTTGGCTATTCAAATAGATTTACCAAACAAATGACTTCTGTGGTGGTGTTATTGTGATACAAAGCTAACTTTTCCTCCCTGCCCTGAGCCGCCAACCTCCGGCTGAGGCTGTTACTTTTAAGTATGAATGGAGTAATGCTTTTATAAAATGAGGCAAAGCGTGGGGTTTTGTAAAGCTCTCTGCTCCGGTGAAAGTCAAAGGGGAAACTCCAAAGGGAAGTAAGGTGGGGGTAAAGTTTGTAGCAACACGGAGCTGTTTCAGACACCCCCACCCAAATTATGTAGTGGTCTTCCATGTAAAACCTGACACAGAAGTGCTAGAAGACATGCCTGTTACTAGGTGAATTAGGAGGCAAAAAGAGCAACTGGGTAGGACGCTAGTCACAATTTCCACATCTTGGTGCCTACAGTTAGGCGCCTAAATCCATACTGAGGCATCTAGGGGGAAATTTCAGAAGCGCCTATGTGACCTAGGAGTACAAGGCTAACATTCAGTGGGTCATAGAATCCTAGGGCTGGAAGAGACCTCAGGAAGTCCAGCCCCCTGCCCAAAACAGGACCAACGCCAACTAATTCAACATGGCCAGGGCTTGGTCAAGCCATACAGTCAGGTTTGGCAATTCTATTCATGGTGTGGCTAGAGCTGTTGAAATGCCAAACAGGATGGAGGTGCTATTCTAATACTTACGGTAACTGCAGCATTCTTCAGTCACTAGCAAAGGGAGGAATTGGTGTTGTCTCCTTACAATCCCATTGAGATTCAACAGGCAAGAGAACATGGCACGAGGTAGCAGATACTTTCTGTGGAGCCAAACCCACCCTGGGATTTGCAGCAGCCCCAGAGAATCCAAAATATTTTTAATTCGTCACTGTGTCCTTTATTGACCTAACTCAATAGGAGACTTTACCCACCACCCCGTCATCCTGAAATGAAGCCAGTTTTCAAGCCTTCATTTGCAGTTGCTTCCCTCGTCTCTTTACAGGGTCAGAATGCCTGTTAGTCACTTCTCGCCCGGCTCAGCCTAGCTCAGTCGAGGAACGGCGGGGTTTCGACACCACCGAACGAGAAGTCAAAGGCTACTTGAGCCTTTTATTGACTCAGCTCCTTGAAAACCTCTTCCTGGCGCTATAGCCAACTTGCTCCATGAAACAGGAACCCTAGCTCAGTAGTTTTCAACCCAAAAGGCAAAAATGTTTGCGCAAAAAAAAAAAAAAAATCCCCCTTTTCAGCTAGCTCTAATGTACAATCCACACCAGAAGTAGCTGCATCTTTGCCTCCCTTTAGTGGCCAAGTTACATAAGAGGAAGAGTCTATGACAGCTGCCCCCCAATGGGGTTACTCCTTTCTCTCAAGCAGCGGAGATGTATATAGGTATGGAAAGTAGGGGTGCAGGGGATGCTTCAGTACCCTCCATATTTTGTGCCCTGCGGCACCCCGGGGTCCCATCTGCCAGCTCCATGGGGTCCAGCTGCTGGCCTCGCTGCCTTTAGGGGTCCCAGCTACTGGGGGTTCTGCTGCCACCTAGGGGCCCATTAGCTCCCCTGCAGTCCCTGGGGCCCCAGCTGTTAGCCCTGTCCCCACCGCTCCACAAATATCCCCACATGAGGCCCCAGCTAGGGACAGGGAGGGGCGCAGACGGGTAAGGCAGGGGGACAGCTCAGCACCCCCACATCCTAAAATTGTCACAGCACCCCTGGAAGTGTATGATCTTAGCAGGCAGCCACAGGTGCAGAGGGGGCTGAGGACCCAAAGGAGCCATTGATACGGGTGGTGTGAGCGGCCAGTGACAAGCTCAGTTGGGTAGCTCTTTTTTGAACCCTGTTAAAGTCCTGGCCTTCACAGCATCCTCTGGCGAGGAGTTCCACAGGTTGGCTGTGTGCTGCATGAAGAAAATTGCTACTTAATGTTCGGTCAAGAATTAGGCCCTGAGTGGAGGAATTAGCGTATAGACATGGCCAATAGAGTGATGTCGTTTAACTGAACTTAGGGAGCATCTGCACTGTGGCTGGGAGCATGTTGTCTGCGCAAAGGAGCAGTGAAGCTGGGGGTAGCATCGGCGGTTGCGTGGGCTACACTCCTGAAAGCATATGCAGGGTTCAGGTGGGGTAGTACACAGTGAGCTGCCCCTCATGCTACCCTCCACCCCCCAGCTACATGAATTTCTTTAGCCCACTAGTTTGATCAGAATTAGCAGGGTTTTGTCTCAAACTGGGACTCACCATCGCAGCCGCACCCTCTGATTAAGATGACGGTACAAGCCATCGGGAAACCCCTTATATCATATTGCTCCATCTTTGCTAGGGATGTCAGCAGCACAGGAAGAAAAGAAGGAATCGAAACTCCAGGGACCACATTTTTCTAGCGCCAGAGCTTTTTGGAAACGGCGTCTTAGACATTCCGGTGCCAAAGTCCATTTTTTACAAGCTTGACTTTCCACTTCCTGCAGGGTAGCAGATGCGAACGAGAGACGCTGTTTCTCGCTGAAAGTGTTGGCCCAAAGTTCCCATTCCCAAAGCTGCAGGATTCCCACTTCCTAGCTGCTCGGAGACGAACAGGCTGCATTCGGTCGGCTCATTTTATGCCCCTCTGTGCTGGGCTAGCTTGAAGATTCATTTCACACCAGGTCACCAAATGGACAGCAGCCACGTTCGGACATGTCCCGGGTTGAAAGATTTTTCCTTGAGTCACCTGGGTCCCATTTCCTCAGCTTTCCTGAGGAATCTGTGAGGTTTCCTGAGGAATCATGTCTTGCCCACATGCTCAGGGTTTAGCTGATCACCATATTTGGGGTCGGGAAGGAATTTTCCTCCAGGGTAGATTGGCAGAGGCCCTGGAGGTTTTTCGCCTTCCTCTGTAGCATGGGGCACAGATCACAGCTGGAGGATTCTCTGCATCTTGGGGTCTTTAAACCATCATTTGAGGACTTCAATATCTGAGATATAGATGAGAGGATTATTCTGGGAGGGGTGGGTGAGATTCTGTGGCCTGCACTGTGCAGGGGGTCAGACTAGATGATCATAATGGTCCCTTCTGACCTTAAAGTCTATGAGGTTCAGAGCAAATGATGTTTTTTTTCAGTGGCCCACGAAAACAAAAGTTTTTATGGGCACGGGAGGGGGAAGGCCTACCAGCTAAGGGGGGGTATGTGACCTCCCCATGGGACCCCCCCAAGAATTTGCTCACCCCCAGCCTCAGACCCCTTCCTCTTCCCCTTCCCCTCGCCATCCCACTTTACCTGGGAGGGGGACGGTCTGGCAGCAAGAAGAGCTACCAGCCTTCTACACCTTTCCTCACTGCCTCTCCCATTGGGGAAAGGAGCAGAATTCCCCGCCCCTCCCCGGAGCTGTCAGAGCTGGGGAGGGATCCTGGTGATGGGGGGGACTGAACGTTCTGCTCTTCCCTGCAGGGAGAAGCAGCGGGAAAAGGAGCAGACACCGGCAGCACCCCCGGCTGCCATAGCGCTCCCAGGTCCCAGCACTGTACACAGAGGCAGCAGCCAGTGGAGGGTCTAGGGATGGCTAGTCCTCCTGGTAGGCCATAGCAGCTAAAAAAGCAACTTGCTGGTACAGCGTCCCGGCCCGGCCGACTTGCACCACCGCCTCACTCAAGTATTGGTACGACTGTCCCCATTTCAAAATGGAGACAACCCCCACTGGTGACGTGAGGGGTTTCGGAGATTTCTCTTGTGTACGCCCGCCTTTGCCAGGGTGCCTGGGAATAAAGAAATAACAATAACTAACTAACGAGGACACTCTCCATAGCCCAGGAGAGAGGGGAGCATGCCCTGTCTTTGCCTCCCTCCCCCCAGGATCAGGGCCTCTCTTCCCCTTGTCACTCCTTCTGCCCCCACGCTGAAGCTACCGGCTCACCGTTCCTCGCCTCGCTGGCCGCACCGGCCGCCTCCGTCAGCTCCGCTCGTTGCTCTGCCCAGCACAGCTGGTCCCCTGCAAGGACCAGGCCTCTGGTCAAGGCTGGGAAGGTGTCTGTCATCTTTGCTAAGAGCCTTTGCTTGTTGCTTATGGCCTTGCTCAGGGTCATGGAAGGCCTCTTGGGCAGGGCTCAGTCTGGGACGACCCAAAGGGATCCCGCTTCCTCTGTTTACACACATCAGTAACGCGAGGTGCACGGGGCAAAGGCAAACGGCACGTCTCCCCCTTCTTACTGACGTGCTTACCGGAGCGCCCTGTTCTCGGAATACGGTCCCGGGAGAGCCGGGCTGTGTAGCCACGCAGGAAAAGCCCTTGACTGCTTTCTTTGCTTTCCCCCCCAGCATGTGGTGTGTCTGACACGGTCGTGAAAGTACGTAAGGGGCAGTCCGTCAAGCTCCCCTGCACCTACAGCGTTAGGCAAGTGAGTGACATCAGTGTCATGTGTTGGGGCCAGGGGATGTGTCCGATCTCGAAATGCAGCAATGAAATTGTCCGCACGGATGGGTGGAAGGTGACCTCCGCACAGTCTCACAGGTACCAGCTCCACGGTGCAATCGCCAATGGGGATGTGTCCCTGACTATAAGCAACGTCGGCATCCGGGACAAAGGGATGTACTGCTGCCGCATTGAAATCCCTGGACTTTTCAATGATATCAAACGAAACCTGAATTTGAAGATTGATCCAGGTGAGCAAAACTCGCTCCTCTCTCTCTAGAGAGAAACCCATTTCGTCTGCCACTGAGGCGTAAGCTCTGTACTTTAGAGAATGGTAGGTGGGAAGAAAGACTTCCAAAGGCCAAAAAAAAATAAAAAAAAATAGACCCATCTGTCACTTAATAGACTAACAACGATGAGGTTACGCCAGCTGATCATGGAACTCACACAGAAACATGATAAATACACAAACTACAAAATGGTTTTCCCTCATTTTGGGTCAATTGTAGAGTCTCCATCACTGGAGAAATTTAAGAGCAGGTTAGACAAACATCTAGCAGGGATGATCTAGATGGTGCTTAGTCCTGCTCTGAGGACAGGGGACTTGACTCGATGACCTCTCGAGGTCCCTTCCAGCTCTATGATTCTATGAAACATTTTGTTTACACTACATTTTTAAATGTTTCTTTTTGACTTTGACCCTTTACAATTGTTTTCAGCCTAAGAGGTCTACATTTCAAATTGAACAGGCATTTGGATAGGAAGATTGGAATTTTTCATTTTGGAAAAAAAATAAAATGTTTCTTTTTGACTCTTGTGAAATGCTTTCCCCCCCCTTCTCAATGTTAGTGTTTGGTTGGTTGGTTTTGAGTTAGGAAATTCATCAAACCAATCTGGTTTCATGAACAGTCGTGCTTTTTGTTTTTTCAACCAAAAATGGTTACAAATTTCCCAATTGCCTCTAGTCATGGGGAGGGACTAGCGAAGTCCTTTTCAACCGCACTGGATGGAGATTCCATAAAAAAAGGGGCAATTCCACTGATGTCAATGGCGTGACACCTGTTCACACCAGATTAACTCTGACCTCAGCTGGTCATTCAGTGAATTTACTTTTGGTTTGGTTTGTTTGCATGACCTGCAAAAGACAGCACAATCTGGGCTGAGGGCTGGTCATGCATTTCATCTCACGTTTTTTATTGCTAGAAAGTTGGGGGTGAATTTAACTAAACAAAACTATAGAGACAAAGTGGAAAAAGTCAAAAAGAAATGTTTCAAAATGTATAGTGCAATGATTTTTCATAGAAGAAAAAACCCTGAAAAACCCAAACCCCAAATTATTTTGGAGTTATTGGCTGTAAATTCTCAGGTTTAGGATTGTCCCATTTGTTGACAAAAAGTCAACCTTGGTCATGGTGGAAAAAAGTTTTCCAACCAGCTCCCTTTGGGACTCGTTTCTTATGTGAATAACTGGCCTTTTAAAGTGCCTGTTCACAAGCCTCTTCTCATAGGTTTGTCAAATAGCTTGGTTAAACTTAGCCATGGTTTGATTTTGCTTTACTCAAGCCCTGTTGTTCTTATCCAGCTTCTCTTTATTTCATTTCAGCCCTCACTACTCGTGCAA